GTTAGAGTCATTTTCATGGGTTTGATTGCAAATGCTCTAGAGAAGGACCCAGACTGCTAATAACAAGACTTAGAGTAGGCGTGGTTAAAATACTGAAAAGTAATTTAGCAATTGTTAGAACATCTAGTTATTTCCATTGCAGACAGTATTTTAGGAAAAATATGACTGACAGCATTATAACAGCAACATTAAGTGCTCATTGTTACAATTAGGAACACATGGACACAATACACCCGCTTGAAAAAGTTTTTTTTCTAAGCTTTGCACCTTTGAAAGATTATAAATCTTTCAAAAGATTTGGGAAGTATAAATACATTACAAAGGAGCTGGCAACAATTAACATCACAGCCACATAGATGTTAGATATACATATTAATTAGCTCTTTTTTTCTTGTAGTAAAATAGAATTTGGGGCTAGGTAAGGTAATAGATGCACAGCACTGATTAAAGTCAAACTTTTAGATCTCTTATAAGTTAAGGAGACAATGCCTGTGATTCCCAAATAGTCTCATTTTTAAATGTAGAAGTATGTCTTATATATACAGTAATATGTATTTAGTTAAGACAAATAATTGTAGGTCAGATATTAAATAGGAGGATTGCTCAAATGGCAGGCTTTTTTTTTTCTGAGTATTCCTGATTACAAACAGCAAAAATGTTAAGTCTCATTGACCAGTTTAGATGTAATGTATTTTGAATTATAGAGAACATTAGCTGGTCATTTCACATGTAATAAACTACAAATTTTTACTTCTGTAACTGTTTGCACAGTATTTAGATAAAGTCTAGACACATACACCGCATTTGTTACAAGGTGGTCATTTAAGAATCTTTTATGTGAATAGATACTTAATTGAATTCTGATTTAGTTAAGGTTTACTTTTTGAAGTAGTCAAAAACCTGACAAGATCAGCAGAAAGCACAAGTAACAATTTTGACAAAATCTTTAAGCCAGTATTTGTAAATGTTACAAAGACCAAAACAATATTAAGATAGCCTTGTTTTATGGACATAGAGAATCATGCTCTAGTTTAACATGACCCTCAACAATCTTTTAGGTAACTCTTAGGCTATAGTCAACTTAATCACACACCAAAGCTTTTATTATATACTTTTAAGACTTACTCAGGACCTCCATATGACATTCTGAACCTTTTGATGGTTTGTCCATATCCCTCTCTTCTCTTTTCCATATTTGGAACAATCTTGAGGACAAACCTTTCTTTAAAAATACCTTCTTTATTTAAAAGCACTCTCTTTTTTCCCTTTAACTTTTTTCCAACACATACTCAGTACTTTTTTATATCCTTTCTACTTGTTGACTTATTGATTTTGTAACTTGTATTTTAAAATAACTTTTATAAGAATTTTAAATTTAAATAAAATTATGTTTTAATTAGCCTTATATTTTTACTTTATAGACCCATGAAGAAAGGCAATTTTAAACTGTTTGTGTATACAACAAGTAACTTAAAGACACACTTGTCAATAAATCTTAATTATAAAAGAATTGAATGTAAATTGCACTTTTGACAAAATGAAACAGATTTAGGTTACTGACCATATAGTCCTTTTCTTTAGTCCTAAGACAGAAGACAATTCTTGAATACCTGTATTTAGTTAGACCTGGTTAAAATAGGAACTTTGAAAAAACTGGTTTTCTTAAAGTGGCAGCAGAAGGGGTGCAGGAGAGAGAGAACAGAAGCAACAATTTTTATATTAATTCTACAGTAAGAATCATCCTAATGATGTTCACATGCAAATATGTACATATGCAAAAAGTTCTAAATAAGGCATGTCATAAATGACAATTTAAGTGCACATAGTTTCATGAGCTCAAGAACATGCAAAAAATAATTTAGTGGACACAAGTACAGTTATTTATCAAAATTCCAGGAGCAGATTAAGATGTGCCCCATTCTGTTCTTTTACGAGTCACTTTTAGGAGGCTTGATAGCTGAAGCAAGAGTCAATGCTAGGGAAACATTTTGAGTCCGTCTCAGTTTTCAAAAAGTCTATTGCCATAGCTATTAGATTTCAGCCTCTAATAAGCCAGTCACCATAAATGTACAATAATAGACACACACACACAAAAACACATACAGAGACACACAAAAACAATTACATTAACTTCTAGTGTACTCTTACAAACTGTCTTTTCTTTCTTAGTAGACTCCTCATCTAGAATTCTCCCTAGGAGGCAAGATGGATTTAGCATTTTTTAGTCTTTTTTGTTTGTTTGTTTTTTAGAAATATTTAGTGAATTTATTCAAATGAAGGCTGTTTAAATGACACAGAAATGAAAAATATTAGAAACCTATATACAATAAAGAGTGAATACAAATTAGCCAACTCTACCCACAGTCACTTTCAGTTGAACATTCATACAAATACATATTCACCTTTTTCTTCATATATGGATAACACATACATATGTGATATAAAGATTCTGACAAAAAAATCAGAAATACTAAATATACACTCTCAAGTGTAAAAAAATGGTGTGGAATCTGTCCCAACAGTAACACTCTACATGAATGTAAACCCTTGATTTAGTTCCATGATTTTATCATGCCAGAAGTAGGATTGGTTTTAATTTGTTTAAAACATATTGGTATCATAACACATTGGTTTATTGATAATTAAGGCATTTTGTTTACACAGTATCAGTGTGGATGAAAATTTTAATACTAATGACTTACTTGGTGTTTTTAGTTTTCAAAGTCTTTTCAACATAAGAAAATAGCTGCATACATGTGTTTTTTTTATAAAACACAGTAAAAACTAATGATTGGTCTTTGTAGTTCCTAGTAATAAGTCCTGTCTTATTTTTTCACATAATATAAATTACATTATTTTGCAGGATTGCATTCAGATCTGTAGTTCTGAAACAATGTTATCAAATAACCATATGAATCCCAAAGCAGCAGAGGCGACAATCTTCATAGCGCACTTCACCTCATTCAAGTCGAAGCTGCTCTTTTTGGATATTTTTCCAAAATATGACGTAGATTGTTAGGGTTTCATTAGTGGTTTCATCCTTCCTCTCCATCCAGGGTCATCTAGCTGCAGGTAGCTAGTGCCTAAAAGATGCATTTTCTCCTGGCATGGCTTGCCAAAGCTGAAAGTGGAGTTTTGGACCCAAGACCCAAACTCCTGAGATTCCACATGCCATGTCCGGCCACCCTCCCCTAAATGCCAAATAAAGAGGATGGTGAAGGCAGAAAAAGGAGTTTTATTGCATGGCTCAGGACATGCTGTGGGAAGAAGCAGAGTAAGCACTCAGCTCACCTTCAGCCATCTTCCAAGAAACTCTCTTTAGTGTTAATCTATGTGGCTTAAAATTTTATTGCATATTTTACTTGTAGTACTTCATTGTCCAAATCTTACATTATACCAGTCACATGGGAGTTATTTCTCTAAACTTTGGAGCTTTTAGTGGTTTAAGTGAATTTTGAAAGAAAAAGATGAGAGAAAAAATGCTAAGGGAACTGATGCCGATATCTTTGAGTGGCTTCTGTCTTTATTATATGTTTCATTCCTAGAAATTTGATACTCATCTTTATAGACACATATGCTTTTATTTGGTTTCCATCTTTTAAATATTTCCAAAAGATTCTCTGACCTGTCTTGTTTGCTATGGGCACCCTTTCATATTTCCCTAATGATAATGAATTCATTCTGTTTTATAGACTTTTATTGATTAATCTGTATAAAATGTATAATTCAGTGGTTTTTAATATTTTCAGAGATAGGTGAAACCAGAAGCATAATAAGTTTTAGATTGTTTTCTGACCTTTAAAAGAATCTTCAGACTTTTAGCTATCATTCCTAAATAACCACTAATCTACTTTCTGTCTATATTGATATGCCTATTTTTGATTTTTTTTTTTTTTGGTGGTAATAGAGTTTGAACTCAGGGCCTCACACTTGGTAGGCAGGTGCTCTACACTTGAGCCATTCCATCAGCCCCTTTTTTGGTGTTGGGTATTTTGAGATGGGGACTCGTGAACTGTTTACCCAAGCTGGGTTTGAACTGTGATCCTTCTGATCTCTACCTCTGAGTAGATAGTACAGGCATGAGTCCCCAGTACCTGGGTCTATTTTGGAATCTATATGAATCAAATCATAATATGTGATCAGTTGATACTAGCTTCTTTCACATCCCATTAATGTCTTGTAGATTCTAAATCACTTTTATTTCCAATAAGCATAATGACCATGTTGGAATTAGAACACTGACAAGCATCTTCTAACCAGGCTGCCAAGTAGTTGAGCAGATCTCTCATTGTAAAACCCCCTGCACCTCTGAAATATAACCTATATATCTAATGTCTAATGAAATAACCAATGTCTAATGTAATATCTGATATCTAATATGTTGGAGCCATATCCCACATCTGAATTTTTGTCTGTTTCCTATCAGTTGTTAACAGTGGAACATGTACTGGCTGCAGTTTCTTGTCTGTAAACTGTAGCAATAAGTATTGTTTACCACCACCTTTGTCACTGATGCTGATGTACTCCAACAGGCAGGCATATGTCATGATCAGGGCTCTTGGTTCTAGGGCACATATCTCCTCTTCCTGCCACTGTTCCTCCTCTGCACCCCTAACCTGGTCATTGTTTAACTTGGAAATGATATGCCAGGCCCCATCTGCTGTCATCTCCATTAAGTCACCAGGTGTAATTGAATCAGAGGAGCCATCAAAACTGAAACCACAGAGTTGAGGGAAACAGCCTCAAGCAACTTTTCATGTTATTTATTTACTTTTAATCTCATTTCAGTGATTTATTTTGGTGCCAGGAATTGAACCCATGGCCTTGCACAGGCTTCAGCATATGTTGTACCACTGAGCTATATCCCTAGTGTCTTCAGAGAAATTTTTGAATCAAAGAATGAAACAAAAACATAACCTCAGTCCTCCATCTTGATTCAGGAGTTTTTCATTTATGTTTAAAAATGATAAACATAAAATTTCTTTTTTCCTCTGTTTTAGGCAACACAACAAGTGATTGATCGAAACTGTCAAGCTCTTGGAAATTTGTTAGGTAACGAGAATGATATGGCCCTAATCATTGATGGTGAGACCTTGAAGTATGCCCTCAGTTTAAAAAATAAGGCAAAGTTCCTAAATTTGGCCCTCTCATGTCGAACAGTATTATGTTGTAGGTAAGAATATATTCACTGTTTTTTCCCCTTCCATAGGTACTACTATTTATGTAAAAACAGTGTAGACATACAAATGTAAGTTTTTGCAGACAAAGTAGCTATTTCGGAAATTTGTATGCTCAAAGCAAAATATAAAGGTCTGTATTTAATTCTAATTGTCAAGCTTAAGATACTAGAAAGCAGTTTCTAATTTTTCGATGGCAAATTACTTATCAGTGTATGATGAGTCTCTCGTGTCTGCACGAGCCTGTCCTAGAAACCTAACTGGGGGTGACGGGAGATTCTGGAAAAGACAACAGACAGAAGACAAAACACGCCAAAAGCTGGGGCCAGGTAGGCTGGGTGCTCTGATGGAGACACACGAACCCATCCACTTCCAGTGAGTTTATTATATACAGTCACAACACAAGGTGGAGAAGCCATTCTCAGGGGAGGGGGAGTGGTGTTGTAATCCTCGGGAACAGGAGGAACCCGTGGCTTCTCTCTGAACGTAAACACTAAAGGAAAAACAGCTGTACTGCATCTTGCCCACTTCTGCACCTGAGGCTGTGCCATTTCAAGCGTGTAATTTACTGGGTGTAACTATACTTGCTCCCTTCTGTGGTTTGGGGCTGCGCCAAACTCAAACACGCAGCTTATTCAATACACTTGTCAGCTCCCAACAAAGTCAAAAGAAATTTTCAGTAAGAGCAAAGTTCCTCAGTTTATTTACAGTGAGGGGAAATCTGAAAAAGTCCACTAACACCAAGAGGTAAAATGAAGTTGTGAGTAAAAGTGCAAGTCAAGAAATTTATTTTTGAAAAACCAAATCACCTGTAGCAAAGTTGAGTGGAATTGATAACGTAATAGAACTATGTACAGAATAGTTACTCCTTGTTTCTCAATGAAAATATTAAACCAATTACTAAAAAATTGATGATTTGAACTTCCAAATACTATTACAGACATGCTTCTCCATCCATGAGGCGTTTAGTTCTAAAGTGGCCCTAAATTCCATGTCCTTCTCCATCCATGTGCATTCCATATCCCACAGCTTCCTCTTTACTCTACTACCACCCATTGTTTGTAGTTTATCATTTAGGATTCTTTGTGACATAGTGCCTATTGCAACCTTTTGTTTCATCAATGAAGGAAATTGTATTGGAAATGCTACTGTTTGTTTTTTATGACAAACTACCTGAGAAAGTAAACTTGATGGAGGAAAGATTTATTTTGACTCAGTTTCAGAGGTATGTCTGTGATCAGCTGACTCCATTGCTTTTTGGCCTGTGGCAAGGCAGAAACACCATGGTGGAATGGTATGGTATAGGAAATCTGCTTATCTTGTGGTGGCAAGAAAAAGGAACACAAGGAGGAATTGTCTAGGGACAGAGTATAACCTTCAAAGCATGTCCTCAGTGACCAACTTCCTCCATATTCAGCTATGAGATCATCCATGAATTAACCCATTTATGAAGTTAGCACTTCCCTAATCCAGCACCACCAGCTGAACCAGTCCTTCAACACGTGAGCCTTGATATTTCATATCCAAACAATTACAGATAAAATTCAAATGTCAGATATGCAAACAACTAACAATAGCCAATTCTACTTAGATTTAATTGGCTCATTCTTTTTTTTCTTGTTGTGCTGGATAGTGGTACATTGTTGCATTTACAAAGGTTCTTGCAATATAACAAATGTATCATACTTGAATTTACCCCTTCCACCATTCTCGATTACTCCCCACTTCCCCCATCAAGAAATAGTTTCAACAAGTATCTTTTTTCCATTTATATTCACGTGTACATGTATTTGCACCATATTCACCCTCTTACACCCTTTCCCCACCTCCTCCCCACTCCCACTGGTATTAACCACCCTAGGCAGGACCTGTTCTACCTTCTTTCTGTTAGATTTAGGTATAGTTTGTTCATGTTTTTCTAGGAGATTGAGATTCAGCATTAGGTCAATTATTTCAGCTCTTTCTGTGTTTTTATATATGTACACATGGCTATAAACTTTCCTCTTAGGACTGCCTTTGCTGTGTTCCTTAGGTTCTGATAGGTTCTGCTTTCATTCTCATTAAGTACCAGGAACTTTTTGATTTCTTCCCTTATTTCTTCAGTGACTCAGTCATCATAGAGCAACATGTTGTTCAGCTTCCAGTTGTGTGAGCATTTTCTACTGTTTCTTTTGTTGTTGAATTTTATTTTTACTGCGTTGTGGTCAGATAATAAATAGGCGATTATTTCAGTTTTCTTATATTTGTTAAGACTTGCTTTGTGACATAAAATATGGTGTATTTTGGAGACTACTTTAGGCTTGAAGCCTATTTTATCTGATATAAGTGTTGCTATTCCTGCCTGTTTTGGGGAGCCATTCATTAACTTGGTAAATCTTCTTGCACCCTTTCACTCTAAGGCAATGTTTGTTTCTGTCTATAAGGTGGGTTTCTTGTAAACAACAGATTGTTGGGTCTTCCTTTTTAATCCAGTTTTCCAATAGGTGTCTCTTGATGGGGAAATTGAGTCCATTAACATTCTGTGTTAGCATTGTGAAGTATGTGGTAATTCCTGCCTCTTAGTTGTTTTTTTGTTTTTGTGGAAGGGTTTGTGCATGTGTATCTACTTCTATGCTTCTCTCTGATTACTTATCTGGTCTTGAGGTTTAATAATTCCCATCCTTCCATGGCTATGTTTGTTTTCATCTTCTGTGTGTGGGATTCCTTTCAGGATCTTCTGTAGTGTTGGTTTAGTGGTCATGTATTGTATTAGTTTCTGTTTATCTTGGAATGTTTTTAGTCCTCCTTCAATTTTGAATAACTTTGATGGGTACCATATCCTAGGCCCAAAGTTGTTTTCTTTAGATGCTCAAAATACCTCACTCCATGCCCTTTTATTTCTCATTGTAGGTTTTTTTATTATTATTGTTGTTGTGCTCAATTGGGTACGTTTTGGCATTTACAAAAGTTCTTACAATGTATCAAATATATCATAGTTGATTTCACCCCCTCCACTGTCACCATTCTCCTTTATTCCCCTCACCCCCATTCCTGGGATAGTTTCAACATTTACATACATGCACAGTATTTGCACCATATTCACCCTCTTACAGCCTTTTGCCACCACTGCGCCCTCTGATTTTGTAGAAGATTTTGTTTGAGATAGCTACACAAGGAGTTGACTTGTGACATTTACATGTATATATGTATTATAACTAGAATTGGTTCGTCTCCTCTATTTTTCTTCTTTCTGTATTAGTCCCTTTCTTATGGTGGTATCAACCAGGTTAAAAATTCTATATTCATTCTTGTATAGAGAATACATCAACCATGTTTACTTTCTTAATTTCCTTCTTTTTCCCTACCCCTTTCATATGTAACCTCCCCATAATGTGAGCTATTTTTCATAATATTGCTGTATTTGTATTAAGTCTGTATTCCACATAAGAGAGAAAACATGGAGTTTTTGGCCTTCTGAACCTGGCTAACCACTTAAGATGATGTTTTCCAGTTCCATACACTTACCTGAAAATGACAAAATTTCATTCGGGCTGAATAAAATTCCATTGTATATAAATACTACATTTTCTTAATCCATTCATCAGTAGTAGGGCATTTGGGCTATTTCTGAAGCTTAGCTATTGTAACACTGTAATAAAGATGGGTGTGCAAGTGCCTTTATTATAATCTAACTTACATTCATTCAGGTATGTCCCTAGGAGTGGTATTGCTGGATCATATGGCAGTTCTATTTTTAGTTTTTCGAGGAGCCTCCATATTGTTTTCTGTAGTTGTTGAACTAATTTACATTCCCATCAGCAGTGTGTGAAGGGTTAGTTTTTCCCCACATCTCACCAACATTTGTTGTTTGTGCTCCTGATGTGTTCTAACAGGAGTGAGGTGGAATTTTAATGTGGTTTTGATTTTCATTTTCTTTATGGCTAGAGATGTTGAACATTCCTTCATATATTTTTTAGCCATTTGGACTTCTTCCTTTGAAAAAGCTCTGGTCAGTTCATTTGCCCATTTCTCCATTGCATCATTTTTTGGGAGTTTAGTTTTTTGAGCTCCCTGTATATTCTTGTTTTCAATTCCTTGTCAAATGTATAGCTGGCAAAGATTTTCTCCCATTCTGTGGGCACCTTCTTCAATTTAGAAAACATTTCTTTTGTTGTGCAGATCTTTTTAATTTCCTGCAGTCTCCATTTCTCAATCCTTTCACTTAGTTGCTGAGCCATTGGAGTTCTACTGAGGAAGTCCTTAACTATGTCTATTTCTTCAGTGTATTCCTTTCTCTTTCCTGCACTAGCTTCAAAGTTTCTGGTCTTATATTAAGTTCCTTAATCCACTTTGATGATGATACTTGTACAGGGTGAAAGACATGGATGTAGTTTAGTTTTCTGCATTCAGATATCCAGCTTTCACAGCAACATGTGTTGAAAAGGCTATCTTTTCCCATCGTATGCTTTTGGCACTTTTTTCAATAATCATGTGGATGTAGCCACACAGATTCATATTTGGGTCTTCTATTCTGTCTCACTGGTCTTCATTTCTGTTTTTGTGCCAGTACCATACGGTTTTTACTGCTATGGCTCTGTAGTATGAAGTCGAGTATTGTGATACCTCCAGCATTGCTGTTTTGCTCAGTATTGCCTTGGCTATTCTCAGTCTTTGAGCTTCCAAATGAACTTTAGAATTGATTTTTCAATCTCTGTAATGAGTATGTCCTTGGAATTTTGTTGGGAATTGCTATGAAAATGTAGATTGCTTTTGGTAGTATAGCCATTTTCACTATGTTGATTCTACCAATCCATGAGCATAGGAGATCTTCCCATCTTCTGTAGTCTTCAATTTCTTTCTTCAGTGGTGTATAGTTTTCCTAGTAGAGGTCTTTCACATTCTTTGTTTATTCCTAGATTTTTTTTGAGGCTATTGTAAGTGGAATTATTTCCCTATATTCTTTCTCAATCTGTTTATTGTTGGTATATAGAAAGGCTACTGATTTTTTGTAAATTGA